ACAAAACAGAACACAGGTCCATATACTGGTCCACAGGGAGAGACTAATGTCCATAAATGTTGATAAATGTTAGAGAGTCAAAAAATTGATTTTGATAAATGTATCAATATTTAGGAGATGAATGGCCGGAGGGGATTCAATAAATCGCTTTATACAACAATATTTTTTAATATCGACAAAATAATCCAAATATGTTTGGGCTTGATTTGGACTAAAAGCATTTTTCCGCCCACGTATCTACTGGGATGGAGGCAGGGATGATGGTGTTATGTTAAAAACAAAACCAGGAAAGCGTATAATATAATAATGGTGCATTCGATTAAGATTAAGAGGTCCTTTATTATTGCATGAGGAGCACACGGCACAAAATAAATGAATAATTCAGCTCAATTCAATTCAATTTCTCATTAGCACTAAATCATAACAGTAGTTATCTTGGAGGAATTTGCAAAACCGTTAAATTCTTGAACACGGATCAAAGAATAAAACAGTTCAAACTCAACAAATGCAATGATGAAATAATAATTAACTATAAAATAAAATATCATCTCTAACTCCAGTATAGAATCTTTAGCATAGGAAAATAAATCTAAAAATTATGCACCCAAAAAAAGCCCATTTGACCTTGCAGTGACCCAGCGGCTGTATGAGTGGTCAGCATGGGGTCTTTACTGTCCATCACTGGTCCCTGCAACGCCATAGAATCAATAGAATCAATGGTTTGGAAGGTTTTCTCCTCTGACAGAGCCCTGAACCAGAAACACACAAAACAATTGATCCTGGAAGACTGTAGACTTCACCGTGATCAACAGCGAAGGCACCATGCTGACCACTCAGACAGCTACAAGGTCAAAAAAGTCAAAAATATCAACAAGTATATAAAGCAGCTTTGAGCACATTTTTTTGTAACCGCAGTAAAATAAAAATAACATTAAAAAAAATCGTATTGGTCAAGCGTAATTTGAAGAAAGAAGAAAATTAGTCTGAGCTTTGATGTACTTTTCTCTCTCCGTTTTTTATTTTTTGCTTGAGGAAGATTTGCATGATTTTCAAGTAAGTGTAAACTGGCAGAGAGAGAGAGAGAGAGAGAGAGAGAGAGAGAGAGAGAGAGAGAGAGAGAGAGAGAGAGAAGAGAGAGAGAGAGAGAGAGAGAGAGAGAGAGAGAGAGAGAGAGAGAGAGAGAGAGAGAGAGAGAGAGAGAGAGAGAGAGAGAGAGAGAGAGAGAGAGAGAGAGAGAGAGAGAGAGAGAGAGAGAGAGAGAGAGAGAGAGAAGAGAGAGAGAGAGAGAGAGAGAGAGACATTTTTGGGGAGCCGCTGTTTTGAAATATTCATGGAAATTGTCAAAAATATCAGAAATGATGAGTATGAGTTCTGTTGGCAGCTGGGAAAATGCACAACAATAGGATATCTGTGGTCAGAAGTCGGTCAAAGTCAGACACTACTGCACTTGTGTGTGTTCTAATGGCTACTGGATAAATGGAGGGTTGTATCAAGACATGTGTTAAAGCTGAGGTACCTAACTTTCAACTGGATCTAAGTTTTTAAATCCATAAATTTTTTGCCTGTGTTTTTCATCCTCTGTCACATCAGATCTGCTTTTTCAGACAAAAAGTGAAAAAGAGAGGACCACCCCTTACTCAGCCAATCAGGTGTCAGCCCAAAGAGTCAAATAGTCACATACAGGGATTGTTTTTTCAAACGAAAATATAAAAGATAAAGACTAGTATATTTATTATACGGCTCCTCACAGCAGCAGTAGAACGCTCCATTGATTTGAATGTAATTTCAAAACGTTATACCGGTCATTATTTATTTTAACGGACCTCTCAAAACAATAATAACTGCTGCCCTTTGGCAACGCACTCTCTGCTTGTACTTCAGATGTGTAGATTACTCTGCAAGTAGTTCCGGCCACTTTGTCTCTCAATAAAAGCAAATACCAATCAATCAACACATTTAAATGTTAATCGGGGAATACATTATACATATACATTCTTAACACACATGCACGGAGATTTTCAGAAGTATCTGTTAAGGTTTTCATGACAAAAATACAGTTTTCAAGAAAAAGCAATCGCGAAAAACCCGAAAGTACACTCCGGGACATTTTAGGAACATTTGCAGAGGATCGAATTATGGATTTAGGTTAAGTTTATGTCTGGGTCACTCACCGCTGATGTTCAGAAGTCTTTGTTCAGTTTTCATGCAGTTCCAGAGAGTTCTAGTTTGGAAGTTACTCGCCTAACTGTTACTCGCCTAACTGTTACTAGCCTAACTGTTACTCGCCTAAATGTTACTCGCCTAACTGTTACTCGCCTAACTGTTACTAACCTAACTGTTACTAACCTAACTGTTACTCGCCTAACTGTTACTCGCCTAACTGTTACTCGCCTAACTGTTACTCGCCTAACTGTTACTCGCCTAACTGTTTCTCGCCTAACTGTTACTCGCCTAACTGTTACTAACCTAACTGTTACTAACCTAACTTACTAACCTAACTGTTACTAACCTAATTGTTACTCGCCTAACTGTTACTAACCTAACTGTTACTCGCCTAACTGTTACTAACCTAACTGTTACTAACCTAACTGTTACTCGCCTAACTGTTACTCGCCTAACTGTTACTAACCTAACTGTTACTCGCCTAACTGTTACTCGCCTAACTGTTACTCGCCTAACTGTTACTCGCCTAACTGTTACTAGCCTAACTGTTACTAACCTAACTGTTACTAACCTAACTGTTACTAACCTAACTGTTACTCGCCTAACTGTTACTAACCTAACTGTTACTCGCCTAACTGTTACTAACCTAACTGTTACTAGCCTAACTGTTACTCGCCTAACTGTTACTAGCATAGCCACAGGAAAGCCATTGGGAACTATTTTATTTTCTGTCATTAAATAAACCTTTCGGCATTCCTAAGAGTGGACTGAAGTTTATGTTGTGTGTTCTGTTGGTACAAAGCTGAATAATAAGCGGGATAATGTACAGTAGGCAGCAGACTACTACTACTTCTCCGCTTTGCCCTGTCAGTACTTATTTTCCAATAATGACCTGCCTACAATACATTATCCCTTACATATATAAGATGAAGACAACATTTGATTCATTAACAACATTTGTCTTTTACACAAGCTTACACTAATTGCTATTTTTTGTTTGTGCAAAAGAAACTGCCACATTCCAGGCATTCATTAGTGGCCACCCAAATACAGTAGCTCCCTGGTTTAATAATCTGCTTGAAAATTGTGATCATGAATATTTTGGAAACATTAAATTGAGAATAACTCCACGTTAAACTTTTGTTCAGAAAGGTCTCATATGATTTTGTGTTGATCTATTTTCTGGCGACAGAAATTATGACTTACTGTCGCTTGAAAACACACCTTTTTTATTGATCTTTTTACCCATTCCTGTTTATTATGTGTATTTCACTGCAATCACTGTTGTTATTGTATTCAACTGTACTATTTTGTGTATTACCATTGAATTGGTTTAGATAATACATACACGAGACCTTTAACAGCCTCATTTCCCTTTCTGATTATAGGGTCTTGGAAAGAAAATCTGCAACGTTTGACCGATCTAATCCCCACCTGCTCGCCTTTACATGTCCACCTTGTAATTAAGTACAATACAAAATACATTAAAACCTTCATATTTAATTCATATTTGCTCCGGTGCTAGATCTCCTCTGCGTCTGGGTGAAACTGCTGCCGTGCTATAATTACAACTGATTTGAAAAGAACTGTTCAACACTTACCCATTATAAGCGACTCACTTATAATTCCTATAATGAGCCTTGTCTCCCGCTCCGCTACAACGTCTCGAACTGCCCGGCGTTTTCCCCGTTCGCTGCCTGCCTCTCCCCCTCTAGCGGTTTCTCCAGCTCTTAATCTGCAATCTTAGTATCGATTTCCCCGGCTATGTATCCAGGTTTGCTTTGACAACCAGCTCTTTGTTCCCAGATGGAGAGGAACCGAGGGAATGATAAAAAAATGGTGGAAATTTGAGTTTGTTTATCGTCTCATTGTGGTAAATCGCAGGCTGCTTTTATATCTGTTGTCTATTATTATGTATGGGATTTGTGATGGCTTTTTTATCAGAGTGCGTTGGCAGAGTAGATGAGACGCAGTTTTCTATTGATGTACGTTCATGTAATATTACCCCCGGTCTCCCATCGCGCCTCTGCTCTTATCAGGCAAGAACAGGATGAGGAGCACATTCATTTACAATCAGCGCTGTATCGTTGGGCAAATTAGCCGTGGTCGAAGTAAAAAAACGTCATGTATGAGGTGGTGAGAAAGGCGATTTCAGCAACTTGAATTGCGTTTAATTTTTTGAAATAATGTACATTTCTGATCATGGGGAACTGTCAAAAGTCCATTTACTTATATATTGCCACTTACAATATGAAACTAAGGCCCGGTTTAGATGGAGACGCTGCAAAGCAAGTAACAGAAACTACCAGGCTCCTAATGCAAACTTTTTAGCGTTCATACAAGGATGAAAAATTATGTAGTTCTAGTCCCCCGCCAGTAGTGGGCAGAGGAACTTTACAACACGACACACGCGACTTCCAACCCAACAGCAGCTGCGAAAATGGAAACTGAAACTAGAGCTTTGCGTGGTTTTGTTTTGACGAAGGAGTAGAATCCTCCTTTGTGTAGCGCTCGAAGCACACATAGCTAGTTATTGAACCTGCCGCCATTATTGTTTTTGTTTGTTCTCGGCTGCTGCGCGTGTCCAAATGTACGATTCAGGATTAAATACAAATAATCGTGATAATAGTGTTGGTAGAAAATGTTGACAGTAAATTTGACATTGAATCTTAAAAACCAGGGGGATAGTTGTTGTGATTATATGTGTTGTTCTGTGGTTTTGTCTTATCCTGGACCACAAGTCTGTCATTAAAGTTTGACGAGTTTGATTGGATGTCCTGTGTTGTTGCTAATTTCGCCGTACTAAGTTTACATTATCGTTTCCTTATGACCCACAGAACCAAGCCGAAGCCCATTACAAAGGCCACAAACACGCCAGGAAGCTCAAAGCCATAGAGGCGCAGAAGAACCGCCAGAAGAGGGCAGCAGAGGGTCTGTCCTCGGCCCGCGACAAAGAGCGGGACCGAGACCGAGGGAAGACCGCCGCCCCTGAAGCCACAATACAAATGCACATGGACACAAGCCTAGAGACCACACGTGAGTACAGCTTTAAGTGAATTTAACGCTGGTGTGTTGAGACTTTTGCTGTTGTCTTGGTTTAGACAATAGATAGTGTTGTTGTGTTGCTGTCTAAGGTTCTGGTTTTGGACCAGGTTTGAGTCTGTGAACCAGTCAGCCTCCCTATGTTAGCCATTTGTTATACATATTTTATTTTGGAGAGGGGTAGGGTCAGAGAGTGTTTGTGTGCGTGTGTGTGTGTGTGTGTGTGCGTGTGGTTTAACAAAATTAGGGGAATGCTGATTTAGAATACACAGTGCCCTACAGAATTTAGGAAGCACTATTATTCTTCAAAAAATATCTTCAGAATATTGGAGAATATATTTAGTTAAAAATATTCAAACAATAAAGAAACACCCCCACCTAGTGGTATTAATGGGAAATGTTCTGTAGAACAAACATATAATTGAAGGCACACAGTTAAATATATTATGACTGAGGAGATTGCTAACTATTTTTAAGAAGCAGATGATGTCTTTGTCCATAAGGTCATAGTCTGGGGATTCATCCAAAAATGGGGCAGGTGGCTGCGATTGAACCTATTTGGCCTGAATTTCCTCATTGTATCGTAAATTAAGCTAAAAACAGAGACAAGGTGATTGTGATTGGTAAAACGGAAAGATATGCTTGTTGTTATTGGGAGACAGGTGATGAGAGGCACAGGGAAGAATCTGAAAAGCAGTCTGGGTGTTTTCAAATGATTCCACCTAAAGTCCTCGTAACGTTAATAAATAAGTATATTGCGAACAGTGTGTGCCTTGTATGGTGTGTTGCCTTGTTGTCCCTGTTGTGTGTCTCCTCCATCACCTTGTCTCTTATCTCCAGCTTCTCATGTTGCTCTGTGAGATTACATCTTCTCTATCCGTCACCATCTCCCCTTCTGTTTACCCTCAACATTCGGGTTTTTCATCTTATAAAATGTCCTTCAACTCAACCTTAACATCTATTTCAAATCTTTTATCAAGTGGAACGTCGGAGTTGTGGTAAAGTGAACTAAAAACAGAACAGTTGGCTCAGCCTGTTGTTCTAAATTAATAAGTTCAAGTTTTTGTTTGTTTGTTTTTTTTTATTTAACCTTTCTTTAACCAAGAGAACCTCATTGAGATTAACACAAGCTAATATGAATGCTAAAAGACTGAGCTGACACTAGCCTGGCCTTATCCATCCGTACACTCCGCTCAATCATCATTTCGCTGCATGTAACGTCTGGGTCTGGTTCTTGTGTTTGCGATTACAATCGGTAGAATTCCATCCGACCAATCAGTGAGCGCGGGAGGCGAGTGTTGTAGTTAGTTGTCGGTGACGTCAAGAGTTTGCGCCAAACGGGAAGGTTGTAGTTTGGCAATGGTGAAGAATGCGATAGTAAAGTAATCCGGTCTGGTTCCAACAAGAAATTGAAGCCGGAGCAAGAGGAATGTTTAGAAAATGTAATCGGTGGCAAAGATTGTTAGCGGCAAAGGAGATGGCTAGGCTAAATGCTAAATGCTAGCGACTCACTCGGGCGCATTACGTGCCCGTAAACTCAGATCCAATTGTTTCAATCTGCAAAAGGATTTAACCCCTCCCACCTGTTCACGGAGCAATGGAGCGCCTCCAGAACTTAGTATGAAGCGTAATTGGTAGATTTAAACAGAGGGGGCGGAGTTACATGTTAGTGCCAGAATTTTCTCATATTAGCGTGGATGGATGTGTTTTTTCGATGAGGGGAAATGTCCTAATAAGGTTAAAAGCTCAAAAAAGCTGGTTTAGCATATTTTGTCTCCTTTAATAAATGACTTATTAGTATTCCTAACATTGCTTTCAATCATAGTGCAGCGGTACATTACATTTTATTGTATTTTTGAGCGTCATTCATCAACTGTGAGAATAAAGTGTTTCTATTTCACGAACACAGTCAAATTATTTATTCCATGTAACTGATAAAAACCTTTCTTTAGGCTTTTACGCTGTGAGTTTTTTTTTTTTTTTTTTTTACAGATAATCATCCCATCCCTGAAATGAATGATTTTGTCTAAAAAATGAATGAAAAATTGCCGCTCTGTGAAACTTCAACTATATTAAAACCACTGCAAAAGACGACAAAAGCTTTAACTGTCTGTCAGCGGAGAAAAGGGCATTCCTGAGTGTTGGCTGTTCCATGACATTTAAGTGTGGCCGTTCTTTCTGCGCTCTTTCTCTGTCAGCTTGTCATATATTTATTTCAGGTGGCGACAGAAAAGAGCCACTTTTATGTCTGCTTTTGAGAGTAAGAATATGTATGACTGAGTTTATGTGAGCTCTGGGCACGGATATTGTTTTGAAGGCTGCTGTTATGAAGATCTGTTAGAGGGAAAAGTCCATTTGGTTTCTTTAAACGGGCAAATAAACACGTAGACTTGTTATGGGGAGAGCAAGTTTATCTGGTTGGTAATAGGGATTGTGACCAGCAGGGAACATGGGTGAGAATGCGCTGTGTAGAGATTATCCAGTTTTGGGTTCATTCAAGTTTTTTCATTGCACACTGACTTTACAACAGGTATCTATATCTCCGTGGTTCTTTATTCATATGTGTGCGGTCCTGCAAATAACAAAAACAAAATTCTAAATTAGAATGAGCTACTTAACTGACGCATTATGTACACAATCACAGCACACCAATAACATTTAGCACACAGTAGTTAGCATATTAGCTCTTAGCAGCGCTCAAAACAAAGGAGCATACATTGAAACGTGCCTAAATTATACCTGCAGTTCACTTTTGTAATAATAGCTTTATGAACAGTGTACAAGAAAAGCAGGGTTCATTTATGTAACTTTTGTCCAACCACTACTCACTTTTTAATAACGCACACGGAGAACAACCACAAGGTTCCGAAAAACACTCTGCAAATGATAAACTTAGCAAACGTGTAACCGCATGGCAGGTCCCGGGTAGATCAGCTGAATAGTGCTCACTCTCTCTCATATTTATAGGATGGAACAAACAGAAGAGTCTATCTATGGCGTCTCTGAGTCCGAGATTAAGTGGCAGCTATGGCCCAAACCCCCCTCTCTTCTGACGTCTTACTCTGATAGACTCTGATATTACTCTGATATTAGGAAGAATTGTCAGTCTGACCGGTGAGCCCACTCTTCTTGCCCCTGATATCAAACTAGTATCTGCCTCCACCCCGTCATTGGCCTCGCGTTCCTACAGAACAACAGTTTATTTAGTTTGAACAGATTCACTAGCTTTGAACTTTGTCCCAGATATCCTATTTCATCATTAGATTCATTCTTAAGTTAAATTGATTTATAATCCCAGTAAGATTTCTATAACAATCACAATAATTTATAATCGGTACAAAAGTGACGCATTTTGTTCATCTTGCCGTATGAAAGGAAGTCAAAGGTTGCAGCGTTGCTTCAGTCAGTCCGCCCCAGGGCATCTTTATGGAGTGTTACAAGACGGATCGTACTGTACTGTAGGCAAACTGTTATTAACCATGCAACAACGGTAATAGTAATAATAATACATCTTTATTTGCTTCGCACTTCTCAAAAACAGTGTTCACAAAACCCGGCACAGTCAGCATAAAATAACAATAGTCCATAAAACATTCATTATAAAATAAGATATAGAATACAGGGGAAGAAAGCAGACTGCTCACAACAATAAAGACAATGTCGAAAAGTAAAAGACCTGGAGTTGTTTTTAGATCCATCCACGCTCATTTCAGAAATATCTTGTCACAAACATGTCCCTGCTCCTCTTCCATCTGAAAGCCCTGTCACAGTATGATCTCACTGTGCCACAGGCTCAGAGCGGTTCTCCTCCTGAGCCTTTTGGACTTTTCTTAGATTTGTTATAATGCCATCACTGCAAAATGTATTGAAAAATAAGTCAAAAAAATCTCTAAATTGGCAAAATATGTGTATGTTATATAACGCAATAGAAAACTCAGTGCTTTGTATTCAACTCTGTGGCACTAATGGATAAAGGGCTCAGTCTTCAGAATCTCCAGTTTATAGTATTGTGATACAAATTCAAGATACATAGAATTAAATAATATAATATATAATATATTTGAGCACATTCTGACTGTTTTAAAACAAGATTTACCAATGGGACAATTTAGTCTTATTTCTAGAACTGTTGCTTTATCATTATTATTATTATTTTCTCATTCCAAGGGAGACATTTCTTGTATCTTTTTAAAACGAAATGCTTTCTTTCTCCCATTGTCAAATCGTGTTTTAAAGCAGTCAAAATGTGCTCAAAATAAGATAAATTTGGCCAATTTTGAGAATTTTTTTTACTTATTTTTCATCACTTTTTGCAGTATGATCCATTGTCATGAGTGAAGTTAACCCGGTTTGTAAATATCTTTTTCATCTGCTAGTTGATTCTTAGCTACAGCTCGAGAATATCCTGACTTTGAGCTCGTCACATGAGAATCAGAGAGTGTCCTGTGCCTCTCTTTGAGCCTATAGACTTTCTTTTCTCGGCTTGAGTACTTTGCGTCCCCTTCAGATAGAGGACAGTGGACAAAAGCTGCGGCTGCTGATAACGCCCTCATCAAATCTCCATTTAATATGACGCAAAGGGCCAATGTGCGCAAGGAAGAACTAGAAGAATGAACCGTGAGATAAAAAACGAATGAATAGAAAAAGAAATTGCGAGTTTTGAATACACTTCATAATGTCCAATAATTCTCCAATGCGATTTCAGTGAGGAGGAACACTATTTAATAAGCTGAGCCAATTGTGTGATTGGCCTAATGTGAAATTAAAATTCAGCGGTGCGAACCAATGTAGCACAAAGGCGTCCTGAAATGCAATAGCTCCAAATGAAGACTGTTGGAAATGCAGAGTGGACTGGACATATCGTGAGTGAGAGCCTATAACCGCAATCCATATCAGTATAGTAGAGTATGCACAGAACTGCACAAATTAAAATGGTCTCAAGTAGTGCTGTATACAGTATGGCTGCAATAATTAATGTGCTATTTATACTTTGA